TAAAAAAAAAAAAAAAAAAAAATAGAGAGAGAAAACTATTGAGGAACGTTTAATTGACTTCTAGCGAGACATGGTAAAACGTGAAACATGATGTTCAAGAGTTTTTTTCTCTCGCTATTATTACCATATCAGATGTCACTGTATCAAGAATCTCATAAGAAAGCCCTAAGGACGTTAATTCGCGAAAGCGGGAACGAGATATCAGAGAAGAGAGAGAGAGATTCCTATATTAATAACTTGTCAAGTTCTTTGCGATAAAACTTCTGTCCGTGAAAAAAACGAGAAAAAAAGACGACACGTCGTCGATATCCGGTGAACCGCGGAAATTCACAAAGACCCGCTTTAGACTTTGCGTCTTTTTTTTTTTTAGAAGCGGAGAAAACTTGAAGTAACGAGGCAATCCGACGAACAAATGCGAACTTACGTTCGGCTATGTAAAATTATCACAAGGAAAATCGTTACCTTATTGAATTTAATAATATGTTTAATTTTTTTACATCTTCAACAATTATTCTTTGTCCGTTTTTTCCCCTTCTCTTTTTCTGCTTCCCGTTTAAAATAGCGTTTTATGCGTAATGATAAATGATTGCAATAATGTGTAATTTCAGTATTTAAACCGCCGCTCTTTTAGAACATTAATTTACCTCCGTTTGTCGCGTCCGACATTATTATCGCACCCTTTCCTTTCCCTTCATCGCTCCCTCTCTCAGGAATAAAGTCGCAAAGAGAGGCGGCCTCTCCAAGGACATTCGCGATTGGGTGTTGAAGGAATGTGCCGGCCTCTTCGTAAAATAATCCTTAACAGTTTTTTTCTTGGCCACTTTCATCGAGCGCATTTAATGGATTATCTGTTCAAATTTATTGTTTTTAAATTAGAATCAACATAGAGAGAAATGACAATGTTGCAATTGTTGAGAGAAGTTTTTAATCAATATTATTTATCAAATCTCTTACACATTTGTTTGTTAGTTAAAATAGTCTCTGTAAAGTATCGATACTTGGACAGTAAGCGTCCCCACAATGTGGAACACCTGTGTCCGTCGCGCGATTTCAACGACGAATCTTCGCGTCGTCATTTCGTTACCTTTCGAAATATTAATCTCGAGTGCTAGCGAACACACGTGTGCGCCTCCAATCTGTACGACCACCACGGCGGCGGTGGCTGCTACGACGACGACGACGACGACGACGACGGCGACGACGACGACGACGACGATGACGACGACGAGGACGACGACGACGACGAGGAGGCAGAGGCACGAAACGAACATTGTGCGCACGCCATAACAGCGTAGCAATAACAGTGTTCCATTATATGTAGCTACACCGCGGGCGGCGAGATTGCAAAACATGCCTAGATTAATGTTTTCTCATCCCGCGGCTTTGTTGTGCAATGCGGGGGCGAGAGGGGACAGGAAGAGGAGACAGCGCGCACCCTCCGCCTGCCTCGAAGCCGCGTTCTCCTGTCGCTCCCCCATTCTACCCCCGCACCATCCTCGGTCTATATACAATCGCGTCATGCGACAATGAACAGTACGAATTACGTTGCATTCTCTTTTGCGGCTCTCTTCGATCGGCCTTCCGTATACGCGCGGTTTCACGACGCGTTATTATTCCGTCTAACAACAAAAAAAACAGAATTAACATGAGACAAGAAAAATATCTCGACACAAATATAAATTAATAATATATACAGACATTTGTACTAATTAATAAGAAAGACAATATATTTTGACAATAAACAAATAGCTTTGATGACAAAAATCATTTTGACATTTCTCGGAAAAATAGCCGAGGTCCAGACTCGTCAAAAATCTTTTTCTAAATATCTTTTATAGTGGTTTCGGAAAATTAACTTAAAATTGTAGAATTGTAATTGGTTTCTTACGCTCGCGTGTGCACATCAAATCTGTATTACGAGGGGAAGTATTCCACAATCTTGTCAAAATCAATAAGACCAGAAAGGGAGAAGAGATAAAAGAAAAAATCCACATTAAATCAAACAATGGTGTTTTATTAAAAAAAAATTCTTTGTATTTTATTACATTTTAAACTTTAAATGCTAAATCTAAAAATCTCCTCTCTTCTTTCTCACATAACAAAAAAAAATATTTTTTTATTACATCAAGTATTGTTTTATTATATTTTCAATAAACCAGTCAATCGTGAACTGCAAGTGATCACCAGGCATTGAAATGTAATGAATTTTGCCGGCCATGTCCATCGCGCGCAATCCGAGCCAGTCCTGTAAATAATAGCAAACGATTAACCACGCGCATTAAGCTATCACGCATCTAAATCGGTCGTGTGATTGTGTACCTGTTGATACAACTCGGTTTCCTGCAACTGCTGTACCTCTTCCGTCTGTCCAGACTTGTAGAACCCAAACCATTCTGATTCCACCGGTTCGACCATTGTGTCATTATCAAACTTAACGAGAACTAAGGTTCGAAGATTTTGAAGATTCTTCTTATATTCCTGTATAAAAATCCACGATAAAATTAGTCGAAATAAAATTATTTTAACAATGTAATTGTTGATTTATACATACCGCGTTGATAGTATTTTCATTATTAATATCGGCAAGGAAAATATTCTTTTTCTTGTATTCATCTTCCTTCAAAGGATCGTGCCAAAAAGAAGCTTGAATTACTGACTTCTGAATATACCTGAAAATGTGATCATTTACAAGAACAATTGAAAGTGAAATAATTTGAAAGCGTTTTCGTCAAACGTAAATTACCATAAATACGCGCCGTGATGAAGCATGCGACGCATGTAATTGCACAGTCGCGATGTGTCCGAGCACTTTGGTATGCCAAAGACACCTTGATGCTGTCCGCCTAAAGATATCAAATTTACCATTGGCGGATTTGGACATCTCTGAGCTACGGCTCTCCTGAAGCAAAAAGTGACAATGTATAAAAAAATAAAAAAATAAAAATATAAATATAAAAAAATATTAAAAAATATAATTGTATGATAAATAAAACGCATGTAAAACTGAACAATTTACAGAAATTGAGATCCTTGAGAAAAGCCAATGGCATTATATCCTTTCTGAAGCTTTGCATTTTGCGACAGTTGTTCGCACACATGTTTTATCTGCTCATTAATATCCCCAAAATAACTGTTCTCAACATCCTGTAAAAAGATGTTGCTTTGTGTATCAGCTCTTCTCTCAAAAATGTGTGTACTTCAAACATTTTATTACTATGAGTGTTATATTATCCAACCTCTATAACGTTATTTCCAATACGTATGGAATTAACGTAAACTCCAGGCAATTCGTTCTGAAGTATCTCTTGTATTTTTCCAAGACTAAAAGAGAAACAACAACTATCACCTGTAAAAATATTTTAATTTTCATATTCACACGCTAAACTAATAATTGCGTGTGTTTCAATTATAATTGTTTCCTCATCTTTCCTAATAACAACTGTCAGTGTTTATATGTGCAATATAAATGCGTGATAAGTTTATACATATGTTTTCAAGCCGGTGACTTTGCAAGATTTATGTATCGGTGTTATCGTAATTGAGTTGGCGAGACAGAAATTACAGCAAAAACATATTTCTACAACTTCAAAAAGAGAAATACAAAATACAGGAAGTAATTAAATGAAAGTTAGAAAGTATATAAAACGAGGCTATGAAACAAAAAAATGATAATTGAACAATAACACCCACCCATTCCGTGCCAGAGCACTATCGGTAGAGGTGAATCATCTTTTTCCTCTTTGTTTTCGTGTGAACAATAACCGGTGTTTACGCACAAAATTGTCACAACAAAAACTACGTAAACACGAATCATCTTCCACTGTCTCACGACGCGATTCATGTCGCGCGTTTGTCAATCAGCAGCGAGATTTTTCGAATCGAACTGACACAACCGGCACTTCGCAATGTTTTTGCGACACTGGTTAATTATTGTTGAGAGAACGCAGCTGATTGTGACATTCCATCGTATCTGCTGCGCACAATTGAACACATGTGTCAAGAAGACACATGTTTTCGCCGACGACAACGCGTCACATGGTCAAAGTGGAAAGTTCGCAGGACCGTAACACGCTCGTCCGGTAATTCAGATTCTCTTTTCACACCGGGACGTTATCGAATTTGATTAAAAACAAATGAAGTAACATTTTAATACAATTTTTTGTGAGAAAAAAAAAACAAACACACTTAATCTAATTAAACGACCTAATCTAATTTAACGTGAAAATTTCACTTTGATTTACTAGTACAAATACATATTTGTAGCGATGAAACGGTGATTCGAGACGAGAGCTTTAGAATCATCCGGGAAAAAACTAAATATACATAAAAAATTTATTTGACAAATAAATATACATATATATATTTTTTTTGTTAAGTTTCATACCTAATGAAACTCAATATATCTCACGCCAAAGTTTTGCAACGTTTTTCTTTCAATTTTTCTAGTTGTATATAACGAAATGGTAAATACCTGACATTTTGCGCGTCTCTACATTCGTATTGAAGTTTTTAGCAATCAGTTTAGAAAGGCGTCATGCTTGCGATTTATGCCTTTATTCTTATTTCGATATCTCGGTATTCTCTTTTCCCACGTATATTATAATATACAGGGTGTCCCAGAATTGGTTTAACATCGCTCGTACACAGGTAGAAGGAATAAAACTAAGGTGAAAAGTCCTATACCATTTTGCTAGATTCGCAATAGTTACCGAGATTTTAATTAACAAAGATCCGCGAATAAGCGTGCATCGG